CTTTACAGTAAAAACAAGTTTACAGTAAAATTCCTAAGATGTTATTTTGTTCTTTACAGTTAGCCAATGGGAAGTGGAAGCGATTGAGCAGATATTGCCCTCTGAATCTCTTCTCAGGGTGAGTTACTGCTTCAGTCACCCAATGCAGGAATGGAAAGCTGGATTTATATATTTCGCGGATGGTACGACGGACTTTAGCCAGCATTGTTAACAAACCTAACTGACTGCGGCAAAGTCATTCACCAAGCTGGATGCGTCACTGGCCTGTGTTAAAGCAAAGAATTTTCCACTTGAAAAAGGAGGATGATCAATATTTTCGCAAAAGTTGTGACTCACCTTTCCACTGTGAGACCAGCTCTACAATCTATAATGCATGAGGGCTTTGTACTGCTGCTTGAGTCATAGGAATGCTAAAAAAACAAGATTCAGATGTGGTTATCCAGATAATCTCTAATTGTGTTGTCATGTCAAAATCAAAATGAGATGCAAAAAAATGTATTATCAAAAGTGAACAAATTTTACACACCTGAATATTATTCAATATCTTGTATTCTAGGAGCAAACAGCGAATGTACGTTGCATTGAAGAATCTGTTAGAGGAACCACAAAACAACTTGAAAATCTTTAAGGTAAAAATGAACTTCTGTAATTAATTCGGTCCCGAATCGCACAAATTTCAGCCTGCTGTCTATTTTTGGAACTTTACACTTCAGATTAAAGATTGAAAATCTTCCCTCGACTTCCGTTGATAGAATGTTCAGCATTCGAAAAGTAACTGACAGGGATGATGTCATGCATACTGATTCGCAGTTGGTCTGTTTTGTGCTTTAATTCGTCCACACCAATGGACGAGAACATTCTGCTTATCATAAGCACACACTGCAGTTTTGCCATCTGCTGTCTTAAATGCTTGAGCTTTTTAAAGTTGAGTGGATTCTGATTGGCTGTCAATGTTTTTATTGTTCATTCGCTAGAATGTCATTATCATTATTGTGTGAACTTCCCTATTCTCATAGAATTAGAACAATTATTAAAATGTTTATCGTTATAGTTATCATCCTTGGTGTGAATGGTCCTAAAATCTTATATTTATCCTAGAACATGTCTTTAACTTGGAAGTAGTGCTACTACTACAAAAAACTTAAACTGGTTTACTGGTATTAACTAGTCTCCTTGCCAAGTCAGGCTGTTTTTAATAGAGATTTTGGCAAATTGTTAGCTGGGAAACTAGCTTTGCTGACCAGTTGATCACCATCTTTATACCTGGATTTGTGACTAGCTTAAAACACCAAAGACTAGCAAACCAGCCGGTTAGGCTGGTTTAAGGTGGGTTTTTTTCAAGGGAAAAAGAAAATCAAATATTCAAAAATATGAAACTCTAGCTACTATGTTTAATCCACTAGAAATGTTTGATAAATAGAAAAGTAGTATTAATTCATTGTTTCTCGCATCTTTTTTTTTCAGGGCGGAGAGTTGATATTTAGCTGTAAAGACGACGCCAAGCAGCAACCCGAATTGAACGATCTCATTCAGCACCTTCGGCCTTATTTCCCTCATAGTAACGGCATCTATAACAGCCAACAGCCAGGCAAAGCCGTCCTGAACGAGTTCATTCAGGTTATCTGCTCCGCTCTGCTCAGCGGCGGGGACTCGAATCGCTCGGGAGAGCCCAGGAAGGTGCACCTGTCCGAGAGCAGGCCGCACTGTGAAGCCAGTCCCTTCCCAAGAGACCTGCTCCGCAACGGTTAGGACTTTACCAGTGACTGCTAACTAATGAATATTTGGATGGCCGGCAGTTGAGTAACATGGCTTTATGCCCTTCAAAATATTGCTAAACAAGTGCAATGGAAATCCCTTCACTGATGAGTCACAATATATGCGTAGGAGTGAACTGGAGCGAAAGTGCTTGACATAGTTGAAGAAAAGAAATGACACGTTATGGGGTGTATAAAAGGCTGGATTATTGAGGCATAGAAATTACGCAAGACCAGCAGAACACGTTGAGCTCATTTTCATGTGTTCACAGGTAACCACGGCCTCCCTAAAGACAGTGTCCTTGCAAAAGTCCTCCAAGTCCAGATGCTGGATAACCTGGATATCGAAGGAATCTACCCTCTGTACAAACGCGTGGAGCAGTATCTAGAAGAGTTCCCGAAAGAGAGGTGAATTTTTAATCTGGGATATTGAGTGCTGCGTTACTGATCTGCCAGATCAATACTCCTGTGCAAGAATGTTTTGTTCCTGCCGAGTAAAGTTTCTGTTGGGCAGATCCTGTGCAGCATTCACCTGTACTGAAATCATTTTTATAAAAAATACAGAATAGTTGGCAAATCTTAATTTGTTTTGAGTTGCTATAAATTATAGTACAATTTATTTTAAGTAAGTTCAAGTTATATTATGGTGCCTTGAAAGACTGAACAGACACTAGGTGGTGCAAAAGACTCATTTGTGAAAGGATATACTTCAGTCTTGAGTCAGGCAGTCACATTGTGGTCCTGCGCAATGTGGTCGTAGGTGATTTCCATGCAGGCCACATGATCTTTGAACAAACATGCTTAAAATCACTTAAACGTGTAATCAACACCTGTTTGTATCTCCAGAAACCGACTGCAGATAGATGGGCCTTATAATGAGAGTTTCATGGACACGGTGAAAAACTGTCCTACTGAAGATGACGGCTCTGTAGAATATGCAGTTGGGAAGGTAAGACCGCGAACATGTGATGCCAAGAACTTTAGGTTTGAATTTAATGATAAGAAATGTCCAGGTTGTATTTAATCTCGAAATCAAAAAAAAAAAAGTCAGAAATTAAGCATTTGGCTCAAATTTTCAAAATAAAATACATAAATATTATTGCATTGTGATATTATTTTTGTAGCAATTAAAAAACTTTCCTCCCTAAATTATCACATTAGCATTGTTTTTGTATGTTTATATATATATATATATACAGTATATGATTTATTATAACATATATAATTGGTTAGTTTATGTATTGAATCAAATACAGGTTTATTTATAATCAAACCTTTTTCCTTGTCTGCCATTTTGCATGTTTTTTTTTCTGAGCTCTCCATTTTTTATGCAAAAATATTTTTTATGTAAAAACAAATATATTTTAAAATATATTTAATATATAGTTTTTTTTAATATTATAATACATAAAATAATAGTATTATAAATAATATTTAGGAAGAGTTAACTCTCAAATTTTCATTTCTGATTTCATTTTGTCACTTTCCAGGTTCATCAGTATAGAGTTGCAATGACTGCCAAAGACTGCTCAATCATGATCACGTTTGCTCCTTGCGAGGAAGACGAGGAGTAGGTTTGCTTTTGCTCTTTAAAATCACCTGCTGACTGATCTGCCTCGACATTTACAATCATTTTACATTCTGTTTGTTTTCAGACACCAGTTGAATTTGGAGAAGCCTCGTTTCACGTATTCCATCTCCATCCTGGATCTGGACCCCAAACCATATGAAGGCATCCCTCACCAGTACAAGCTGGACACCAAAATCGTCAACTACTACCTGCGGAGCATGCAAGCTCCGCCCCCCTCCAGCCTATATAAGGAAAGGCAGGAGTGCACGCTGCTCTTCCATGCTGTATGAGACACCTCCACAAGTGCTGCTTGGGAAATACCCAGAAGTGCAGTTGAAGTAGTGAAACAGTTTTGTTCTTTTTGTTTGCTAGTCTGTCTAGTTGTTTGCCCTCCCACCGCATTCCGCGACGTGAAGTTGGCAGGGACGGCGGCGTTCGCAGTTGTTGCCGGAGCGACCTGATGTTTTTCTTTTCAAGGGTGATGTTCTCATTGGGGCTGGTCTCCTAAAGCACAGAATACCTGAACGAGTCAGTCATTGGCTGTAAAAAGGGAGGACTGTGTGTGTTTTTGTGCAGAGCTGGGTTTTTCTCACACGCAGCAGCGCTATTGTGTTTCCAAGTGCCAAAAGCGATTTTCCCTATTTTACCATGCATCAGCTTGGCTGTGTCTGCAGTCGCTGTACAGGCAGTTTGGAATTAAAAAACAGACAAGTACTTGAGTTTTTAGCGCGACTACATCTCTAGAGCTCCTCAAACCACTGACCCTCGGCGAGCTAAAGTAGCGGGAGTTATACTGACAAGCACAGACCTGTTGCATGCCAGCAAATGAGGTCGCGCTAACACCGTCACTACCCGTAAGATAGATTTTATAAATTAGAGGAAGTCTAATGACATTACTCGCTAATGAAAGTGTATTTTTGTAACATAACGCTTGGCTGGCGTAACCATTTACCGAAGTGTCTTGTTAACGAGTAGTTCAATAAAAAAAAATTTGCCCATTGTTTACTAACCCTCATGTCATCGCAAACCCGTTTGATAGAATCGTTATGCAGCTCGTCAGTTCATTCTGGCCAGGTATTTTGTCAGAATTGTGAAGGAACGCAACATTTTTTAACAATCACCGGTGAATAACGACTTAGTTTTGAGTGAAGAACAGACAAAAATTTGCACAAGTCATATGAACTACATTTGTTTCTTTGGAGCTTGACGATATTTGGTCACATACAAACTGTATGGCAAAAGTTGCATAACGATTCTTGAAAAATGTGGAAAAACATCAGTATACAGACATGATGGTGTGCAACTTTTGGTTGAACTACTAGCTAGTCCATCATCTCAAACATCAAACATTAGTTTTTCCCAGAAAAACTGCTGTAAATTGCAAAAATCAGCTGTCTGTCCATCAACGATTGCTTTGTCTCTGAGTTTGACACTAATACGCTTAATTGTTGTCTGTTTTGATATCGTAGAGCAGAAAACAACCAGAGGAATCCATCCCCAGCCGCTTGAACGCTACTATGGTTGCATTTGGATTGAGTTTTAATGGCCATAATTGGTTGCAGAGCCAGACATATTTCATAAGTCGACCAAAGATGGACAGCATGCCAGTTTTCGTTAGCACAATAAAAAAGATGATCTAGCAGGTTTTTCCAACAGTGGAAAAACCTGTTTCTTTTCAGAGAAGCAGTATAGGCCACAGAAATGGTAGTGTTGATTTAACACGAGTTGCAAGTTTGGCGCCTTTGACCCAAAAAACAACCACAGTGAGACGGTTCGCACAGATATTATGGTGCAACTTTAACACTAAAGATGGCACCTCACGGTCGCCTTTCTCTGTCATGGGGAATATTACTGTTACAATATACTGTGGCATGAGAGATGCTCATGCTCCTGTTTACCTCCTTTAGCGTGATGCAAACTGCATCGGCTTGCCTTTCTCATAGTCGTTTATGCAGTTCTCATCAGGCGAATAGTGTTTTGAGTTTTACATGGATGAACATTCAACATTGCCAAACTGTTCACACTCCCCTTTGTCTTAATGTGAACTGGTGTCAAGAGAAGTATTAATACGCCTTACCTGTGAGTGAAAACGCCTTCGTTGTCCAACCGATGGCGTTTGTTGGACGGTCATGTTTTAATGTGTTATGATGTAACTGATTGAAAAGTGCAGTTTCATTACTGTATTTGCCTTTGTTTTAACAACATCTTTCCCCTGTTGAACCAGACGAGCCAGAGATATTATGAGTCTTAGGTGGTGACACTGTGTTATTCTAATGAAATAAAGATTTATAATCACTATGTAGGTAGGAATGGACATTAATTCTGTTATTAAGCAAGAAAAGAAAGGAAGATCACAGTTACTGATGGAATCTAATGTTAAAATGTAACTATTTGAAAATACAAAGTGGATTTTGCTGTCAAACATTTTGTATTTAAAATTATTTATTTTTCTAGCTCTTGTCTAATAATGTATATTTCCATACAGTGTGGGCATATCATGCGTAAAAATGATTGACATGTACAGGTGGAATCACTATGTAGTTCCTAACGGGTGATTGTACAGGTGTTTATATCGAATAAAAAGATTAGATATGAATTTCCCACGGCGTGAACGTTGGCTTGTTTTATGACTTCTCACAAACATACGGTTCTTATCAAGCCCTCGATTGACGCTTCCACCCCGAGAATCTGCAGGAGGCTCTGAAAGTAATTCGAGCCATTTTCCATCACTTTTTTGGTGTCAAACTCCCGAGCTGAAAGCAAAATAAAACATTTTAGATCATTGTACCAAAAGTCACAATTATGAATTGTACAAGTGTAAAATAAGGAAATACTTGATTCTGATTTGTCAATTGCGTCACTTTTGTATTGCAACCACAAAATTGTATATTTCACATACAACATAACGAAAGTTGTTTTCTCATTACAACTTAATTTTCTCGTGATCTCGACATAAACGTTTTCTTGTGAACAACTTAATTTTCCTCATGATCTCAACATAACGAAAGTTGTTTTCTTGTTATCATGACTTAATTTTCTTGTGATCTTGACAAAGTTATACCCCATCAGTTATATTTAGTTCTATACTACAAAAATGGCTAGTTTTTGAATCTAGTAAAAATGGCAGTGAAAGACTTTTAGGGTGCTTTCACACCTGTAGATCGATTGCTTTCTTCCATAACAGGGATTAAAATGATTACAATGTTGCTTTTTATTTTTGGTGTGGTTTGTTTTCACACGGCAAATTTCTAAACGGACCAAATTTGTTAATACAAGTCACGAGCGAGTAAACTGTTCTCTCATTGGTCAAAGTTTCACGGTTTATTTTCCGGGATTCCACTTAGCTGTCACGGCTGTCATCCGTCAGGATGGAACGACAACAGCTTTGCGGGCTTATTGTTGGGTTTTTTGTAGCTGTCGTTATATGAATTTATCATTTTGAGCAGGTGTCCAGGATTCATCGGGAATTAAAAAAAAAAAAAATCACCTACTAGGAAGAAGAGCAATAAGACGGCATTATAAAATGAAAATGTGTGCTTTGATTTTGAATGGCGAAGACGTGCTCACCCACAGACATTCACAGGTTCATTTTGAGGTATTAGCAAAACAACAAACAAAATGCTTTTCACGGAACTTACGTAATTA